AAGTAGCCTAATTTTGCCCTAGCTGACGGTTTACCCTAGACACCTGGGGGCTTTTGGTCCGGGCAAAAATGATATTCATTGCTTATTCTCGCCCTCCTCCGCCCGGGCACCGTTTCGGGAACCGATACGGCCAACCTCACAAGACCAAGGGTCCGACAGCTTGGACGCAGCCACACCGCATATGGTGACAAGACAGCATCTCGTACTCGTACGGATACCGATGCAGCTACCCCAGATGCGAACGACGTACTGCGTATCTGTACTCCGTACTTACACACTTCCAACCCAACTGAGAAGGACGCACTATACAGTAGATAATCGCACACAGCCCTCGATACTTGGCACACGGGCCGGGGCTGGAACAACATGGCAGCTGGAGCAAAGATACAGGGAAGTAAGCAAGTGGGTGTTGGCTCTCCACCGCCCACGTTGTCAGACACCAGAAAGAACCCCAAGATCCCAATAGCAAGGATTCCAAGAAGGAAGCAGCCAAGGTGCAGCTCACTCAAATGAGCGGTGGCGATTGACGGTTATTGGGACTTGCTTGGGGCAGCTGCCTTCAACAGACATTGATTCTCACATTCCACATGGAAGGGATGGATCATGGCAACCACTACGGGTACTAGTCTACCTATCACTACCACTCCCGTACCTCGACTTTGGCTCAGTTTGATGCATTACAATTTGATCCGCCGCAGATACCTACATCATCACCATTGCATCTTCCCATCGCCGACCATCTCCGCATGAATCTTGACCGCATGCCGACGCCCTACAGCTCAAGCTCAAACCAACCCTTGATCACCTCGAGCTGGCCTTGCGAGCCTCTGCTCCGTGCGGTACACCTTTACACCTCTCTCGGCTCTCGAGTCCCTCCTCACGGCACTGTGCCTCACGAGACCTGTCTTGGCGGATTGTCAACGGTTGACCGTGAACCTACCTACCGCCGGCGGAGGAGCGGGCCAGGGAGCGGCCTCGCTGCCTTGGATGTTGTCCGTGCTCCGCAATCTCTCCGCGCACCATCGGCGAATAGGCTGTGACCCTCCGTTCCAACTCCCAACTTTCTTCTCATCGCCGCCGGACTTTCGTAGCAGTCCACCTGCCCGACCCTTTTCTTTACGATCGATCAACAACGAACCATTGGCTCCGCCTGCCGTCGTGGGCGTGGCAAGCGGCCGAGGCATGCTCGGCAGGGAAACATTATCGCGGCTCTTAATCGTTGACTTTGAATTAAAGTTTGCTGCTCGAAACTACACGCCATGACGTCTTTACACTCTTTACACCCTCAGACGGTGTCATGGTATCAGACGGGTTTGATGGTGGACTCGATCCTACTGCACGCTCCCGCCGCACAGAGTGTAGCGCTGGCCAGAAGTTTGGCCTGAAGTACCTCTTCTTGTTGTTGCCAGTCGACCTTGAACAACCTGCCTTGAGCCGCACCGCCCGTGAGCTCCCACAGAGTTCGCGGTCAGGTACTACCTGCCTTCTATGCAGCTCCCCGAAGCATCGTCAACCTCAGCCGACTGGTAGCTATCGCTCTTGGCGCATATCAGACTTTGGCACGCACCGGCAGCATGGGATCTTTCACCATGGAATGAATTAGGATGACACAAAAGTCCGCCCGCCGCGACCATCCCACACGAGGCTGTCGGCACCGTTGGCCTCAAAGAGGAAGTCCCTGCATGGATGAGAGCTCGAACGTCTTCCACTGTCTGTTCTCTGAACCTGTCCTGCAGGCATTCGACTCTTCGACTGACACGCTCGAGCCCTATCGACAAGGGACGTTTTCGCACCTCACAAAAATGAGCTAGTTTCTCCCGGCGGCACCTCGTCAACTACCCGTCGGGCCTACAAGAGCCGTTGGACCAATTTAGGCACCGAATAGGAGAAATGAGAGCATTGCGATCGTGTTAGTGCCTGTAAGGCGTATCTGGGCAATGCGACAAATTTGGACAGATTTTGGCCCAGCCCAATGGTTATGGTCCATCATGATTCATCGACCCTGGCACCCTGTCGATTTGCCCAAATTGGCATTCCCACTCAGGGACCAACCAGGCATAGCAATGCCAGTTGGCAGATTCGGTCTCTGGCGTCATCAATTCAGTCATGCCTTGTCGTCTTGTCTTCATTGGAGTCCAGAACCTCTCGAGGGTCGTACAACAATGGCGGCTCCGAGCTACTGATCTAGAGCAGTAGAGTCGCGGTATCGTCGATGATGAACGCGTAGCAAAAGTCAAGACCCCGCCCTCGGCGCCGGCCTCGTCAACAGGCCGGAGTCTTGGCATACGGGGTCGCAGTTCACCCTGATCGCCCCGTCAGCGGCCCCGTCAGATTCCGCCGCATGCATAAATCGAGGAAATTTAGGATTATGAACAACCCGGTGTTGGTCATCGGACTCACTGCATTGAACCTTGAGCAGGTGTCGTGCTCGATGGCGTCCGCGGCTCAGCGATGTTGGCATGGTGCGGCGCAACGGACGTTACACAACTACATGTTGACTCCAGAAACGGCCAGATCAAATCTACGGTTGCGTAGCAAGAGAGTGAGAGAGAGACAAGAGACGTTGAGATCAACGATTCAACATGGCCTTACCGTCCCAAACGGATGGGTGGGGTTGCAAACAGAGAGTAAGACAACAGCACACTCAAAAGATTGTGAGAGAGAGAGAGACAGAGACAGATCGGGTGGCTTTTTGTTTGTCAGTCTCGGAGCGATTTGTCTGCCTGGGTGTGTCTCTCTCGCGTGTCTTCGTTGACCATTTCGTTCCATTCCTTGGGCCCATCACCCATGCAGAGCTTACTCAGGTTCGGGGACTTGTGAACCTCCACTCCCGAAGTCTCTGGAGGTACCGATCAGTCACAGGAGCGGACCCGCTCAACCTGCCTTACCTACCTTACCCCTTGAAAGTTGACAGCACCATTACGGGCCTTGTCCTCGCGCAACCCACTTTCATGAGGCGTGCACTCGGCTTGGTTCCTACCAAAGTAGCGTTCCGTTCGCGATTTGTCGAGTGTTCCCCGAGGCAAATGGTCCAGACTCGGCCCATGCCAACATACTCGCAGCATCATGTCATATTTTGTTCATGACCAAGCCTCATTGCTTGGAAAGATGCCATCTCTTGATCCCGGCAGAGTTGTGGATGACCCTGCTTCCTGAATATAAGATGTGGTCGGCTGTTCCGTCTGATTGGGATCCCCCTACAACGGAGTCAGAAGCTATTCATGTTTCGAATCGGGGACCTTGATCAACATTCACAGTTCTAACTCCGCCGACCTGACGTCGATACGATACATACCTTCAGCTTCAGTGATCTGATGTAAAGGATTCCATTTTAAAAAGACCATTTCGACCCGGAAACATTTCATCGATTCAGACTGTTTGTTACCTCCAAGGCAACAGCATTACTTCCCGTCGAAATAAGATCTCCTAGGTCTTATCTTACACACCAAGATTGAAGAGGATCATATCTTGTTACACCAACAAGCAGCCTAGAAAGACAAACCATCCACCACCACGTCCACACATATTCTCCCGCATCCACACGCCCGCAAAATCATTAAGGACTTTGGTGACGACAAGAGAAAAAAGGGGACCAAGAAGAACGAAAGGCCCCGAGACCCTGGAACAGCACATAGCACACAACAGGCTCGGCAACAAGATCCGCTCGAGACACGTCCGCCATTCTGCAGTCAGCAATCCGCCGTATCAACAGCGGGAAGCAGCAACAAATAAGCCATCCTTAACACAAGCAGCGACCGGCTTGCAAATCAAATCCCAATCCCTATCCCTATCCCTATCCTCGCCGTCCAGTTCTCTGAACTCCGCAGCGGACTTTACCTTCTCGCGGCTAGCTCTTGGGACCAGAAAGAAAAAAAAAAAAAAAAAAAAAAAAAAAGGCTGCTAGCGCGCTGCTACTACCAGCTACATCCCACAACTTGGCTACGTACCAGACGTACTTTTGATACACGACCGTCACCACACACACACTCTCTCTCTCTCTCTCCCGATTGAGCACAAAACGGAACCAGGATCCTTCTTGAGGCCGTCTCATTTTCACAACTACTGGGCCCGCCCGCGCACTCGGACATAAAGACGTCGCCGACCGTTAATGCCACCCGCAGCAGACCAGACCAGGCCAGCAAACCCACATCCACGCCCACGCCCACGCCCACGCCTACGCCTGCACCACCACCTATTCGTAAGGTACCTACCTAGTCCTACGGTGACCTGAGGTAGACATTGCAGCACCAGTACTGCACCGCATCCGCACTCGCTCCAGCTCCTCCAGCAGCAGACTCTCCCCGACAGAACTCCCCTAGTCTGCCCTGTCTCCCCTCCACTGTACCCGTCGTACCGCCGTACTTGCATCGTAAAGGTACGGGGGCAAAGTACCGCACCAAAGCAACCAGCATCAGCACCAAGCACCACCATAGCACACACCCACCCCCCCTGCCTGTCTTCTCCTGCTCCTCCTCTCTCTCCTCGACCTCCACTGCTTGCTTGCTTGCTCTGCCCTCCTTAGCATTGCGAGCGACCGAACTCTATCAACCCCAAAAGCTTCCGAGGCCTTTTCCCTGCGCATCACATAATCTCGCGCGCGCACATTAGACGCACCCCGTTTACTCCCCGTCGTCTCCCCGTTGCTGCTCAACATTAATAATTTGTCTACGCCCTCCATCCCAGTACCTTGCCGTGCTTACTGTCCCGCCCTCTTGACCCTAGCGCCGCGGACTCTTGGCTGTGTCATCCCGACTCTTTTACCTTTTTGGTTTATTCTTCCTTTAACTGGGTCGACTTCGTTCTCGCTATCCTATATAGTTCACTTACACGCCTCTCACCTCCCTCACCCACAGACTTATACGCACTTTGCCCCTCGGTCTACATCAGCAACATCTTCCTCTTCCACACATCGCCACACCTTATCCTTCCTCACCTCCACTACTACTACTACTACCACCTACTACCTCAATAACTAGTAATCATTCACCACCATCACCACAATGGGAAGCGGTCTACCCACACCCCCCTTGGAGGATCAGAAATCCAGGAAGAGCTCCTCCAGCTCAAAGTCCATTAAGCCCAACCGCCACACTGCCAAGCGCGCCAGCCCTCACAACGCGACACAACATCACGATCATAGCTCTCAAGCCATGTCTGCAGATGGACGTCACAAGAGAGTATGGAAGGCTTGCGAAAGGTGTCGTATGAAGAAGACCAAGGTAAGCAGCCGCCGCCACCATCACACCCAACCTCTTAGCCACTCCCATTCTGACTTGGACTCCACTCAGTGCGACGGAGAGTTCCCCTGTAAAAGGTGTAAGGACGATGGTCTCGTCTGCACCGCCGGCGTTCGCAAGAAGACGGAATACAAGCAGCTGCCTAGAGGCTACGCCGAGGTTCTCGAGCACACACAATTCGCCCTCATCGCCACCGTCCACAAGCTGTACTCCATGGTTAGGAACCAACAACAATGGGACCTTGGTGAGCCCGAGCTCAACGACAGAGGACAACCCGTCATCCACAACATTGCCCAGAAGCTTGGATGTATCCGCCCCAACAGCGATATCGACTTGCCAGTTCACTCGGTGTTTCCCGAGGACGAGGCGGGTTTGGCCGAGTTGGCGCGTCAACTGGAGGAACAGCAAAAGGAACGCGACGTTGAGAAGGCCATGAAGGTCGAGATCGATTCTAACTCAAGTTGCGAGCGTTCAGACCGCGCAAGCTCTTCTGACATCGATCACTCCGAATTCGAAACCGATTACCGCAAAGCTGTCTTTGGCGGCCACAACAACCCCATGACCATGTCTCCGCAAAGCTTCTCTACCGGATATACTGAGTTCGACGTAGACTCAGTTGCCTCGCCCATCGATCCCACCGCCGCCATGTTCCAACAAAACCAGTCTCCGCCCATGAACGCTTACCAACAATGGAATATGCCCAGGCAATCAGCACCCTCTTCAATGGATCTCGCTCAGCAATTCTTCCAACATCCCGGCGCTCTCACCAACATGGACATGCTTAACCAAGGCCTGATCGAGTCAGAATTCGGCACTATTAAGCCCCACGTTCTCAATTGTCCGAATCCGGAAGTCATGATGGGAATGGGCGACCCGATGATCTACGGAGGCTATGACGGCGAGCCAATGCGACTGTAACCCAATCATTCCAGCCACTAAGCATTTCGAGTACGGATTATGAGTTATAGAGTTGGGGCTTTCGGTCGGGCTACGGCCATCAGGCGCACAGAAGACATTGGGGGTCATGGGCGGGTTTTTTGCGAATTATGGGATTTTCAATGATACACCGCGAAGGCGTTGCTTTTTTCTGGGAAAGGACCCTCCCCACATCTCGCGAGAGAGAAAAAGGCGTATGACGGATTTTTGGTTGTTTATTATGTTTGTTTTATTTTGTCAAATTCGGATGAGGTTAATCGCCACCGTTCAATGTATTGCGGGGGAATAGTGAGCGGGAAACGGCCTTTTGGGAGAAGAAGGGATTATTATTAGCATTGAGGCGAACGATTTTTCATGTTACGACAACACCAAAAAATCGAAACCATTGTATCAACTTTTTTCTAAACTCCGTGTGTCTACTCTTTTTTCTTTGCTTGTGTGATTTTGCTTTGGGATGAGCTTTAGAGAAAAGGTTTATCTTACCGCCCACCCTCCTCCTTTCACAGAGTTGGGACGAGGACAAGCTTGCATAAAGCTGAACCGGGGGGGAAGAGAGGTCAAAGTACCTTACCTACCTACCTCCCCCAGTGAAAAAACAGATACCCAATACCACCACTCTTTCGAGTCAACAGAACCTTTTGCCTCTCTCTCTCTGCAGCAGCCAATGACTTTTTTGTTTCGCCGTCTTGGATCGTGCAATTTCTACCTAATTTGGATTGTAAGACATCAAATGAATCCGTGAGCTTCTTCAAAGCTCAGGTCGGCGAATCTAACAAAAAAGTACTGCGTACTCCCCTCCCCGTACCTCGTCATAAATCATTGTTTATTTTGCAGCTTTTAGCTGCCGACTTGCTCCCTCCCCCCTGCTGTAACCTCCCAAGTTTTGACTTCACGCGTTTTATTCTGGGTTTAAGGAACTATGGGAGGAGGCAATGACGCTACAAGAAGAAAAAAAGACGGTGACAAGCAAAGACTCCTAAGAAAAGTATACTTGTCTCTTGTCTCACACTCTATTGATCCGTACACACACTACCTACCTGATCCCCGGAAATGGACGAACTGCTACCAAAAAAGTTCCCCCTTCTCTAGACGATTGGAATCGGCGACGGCATGCTACGCTACCGTATCAGCGGGCACCCTGCGGCCTGCCTTGCCCTGTGTTGCCCGCCTAGCTTACACGCTCTCTCTAGTCTCTACGTAGGTATGCCCGCAGTGCAGCCCAGAGAAAATCTTAAAAGAGGATCTTGGGGGGGGGGGGGGGGTTTTGTTGTTGCTTTACCAGGAGCCAGCTCCGTCGGTCAAGTCAAGCCGCCCCCCCCCCCCCCAATTTGCCCTGCGAGCATGCCAATTTGTTGCTCTCAAGGGTTACCAACGCTGCGACCGACGCCCCGGAGGGTTTGGAGCGAATGCGACGCTCAGAGTTGCCAAGGGGATGAGCCACGGGGTCTCCACGTCACGACTTATAATCTTCTCCAGGGGGGGAAGGTCGGCGGCGGAGGAAGGTAAAAATTGTATTGTCGCTTTCTCGCCGTCGCCGAAGGGGACGGACGAACATCAATAAGACAATTGCAGGGCCTAAAATTCCGCAGGGAGACAACTGTCAGAAGCCTGTCGCGCTGTTCTAGTCAGTGTCACATCAGGTAGTAGTCATTGGGAGATGAAGATGGCCTCACCGTACCCATCGGCGACCTCCCAGCGAAGCTCCTAACACGATTGCGGCCTGCAAAATTCCCAACGCGACGTGATACTTTCTTCAAGCTTCTGGCGGCCCCCACTTGGTGATTTGATCGACCGTACAGCTCAGCAGCCGTGCCAGCATCTCTCATGAGATTTGGGGGCCGGATTGACAGCGATGGTGCAACATGGCATGACCAGACAAAGCTCCCATGCTGCCAAACGTAGACTGCCGACCTCCTTTTGGTTTCCTGCCATGTGAAATGAGCCGCTTGCTGATCGTATATCGCATCACCACACGCAACGATCAACAAGTTCGAATCGGCGCGGACCAAACGAATCTTCCAAGTCCGCCGAGAAGGCGGGCGAGCAGTCGGTCAGGCGTCGTCACGCCCCTCATCTCTAAGCCACTTGGTAGAGTCTTGGTCAATTCTGGTTCTGGACAAAGGTCCCCCTGGAGCATCCGTGATCCTTGTTGGTCGATCAAGGGGTGACAGGGGGAGGGTGTGTGGTTGCGCCTGCAGTTGTCGATGGTTCTGCATCTGCGGCGGCGGGCTGGTAAGTGGCAGGGCGCAAAAGCCAACGGTCTGCGCAAAGACGCACCCAACGTACATACCGCACACCCCCAGATTGTAGTATAGACGCGGCACCAATTCTGGCGGGTAAAGGCTTGCTTACTGGTGCAGGTAGGATGAGGATGAAGCAGGGTTGCTCCCACGAGAAACAAGCAGAGACAAGTGAGGGAAAAAAAAAAACTTTCCAAAACACACGACAGAAAACCATCTGAATTCGTCCGCCCTACGATCTCCTTCGATCCCAAGAGTCCACGCCGCGGCGACCCACAGTGCATGTTCCACTAAACGCGGGAAGCTCAGGGCGCTGTTCATGCGATGATGCTGCGTTTAGGAATACCAGGCGGGCTATGGCGCGGGTCGAGGGGTGATTCAGGTTGACCGTTAAACAGCGTTGCTGTTTTTTGTGCATCACATACGGATAGTATACATTGTGATTACGGAGTATGGCACTTTGCGCGCCAGAGATGGGGGGCGCTAAGTGGCTGGAAATCGAATTATGATCTCGGCGTTTGTGACGGAGGGCGGGACGGGAAGTTGTAAACCCCGCGGTCCGACAGTGGATGACCCATGATGAGTCGATTTTTTTATGAACAACTAGTTCCATCGTCCTTGTTCGGGTCCGACGATTGAGTGAGGTGGACTTTTGTTGTGGTTTTCTTTCTGCCCTAGGTAAGCCCGGGGGGCATTTTGCTGTCCACGGACATCAAACACGGCCGATGACAATGTCTGAAGGGGCTTGGGCAGATGTTGCGAATGACACCTTGTGAGTTCACGTGTTGGGCTGGGCGGATTGTCTGAGTTGGGTTGACGATGCTGGGGAAACCCTGGTTGCTGGTTTGGGCGTTGCTTTGGCCCTTGAAGTTCAAGGCGCTTTGTCAGCGGGCCGTTTTGGCTTTTCAATGGACCAGACCTTTCTCTGTCCAAGACGACAGGAAATAAGCCTGTACGAAAGTTTCCGTTGACTTTCAGTGGTGGACATGATCGACTGCCCAACATGGGGAGCTTGTACAATGGTTGAGGCCTAGGGCCAGGCCTTGGGTGGGACACGTTGTAAATACGCTCTCATCTGCGTAAGGAGAGGAGAAAGCAGTAGGTGTTTCCGTACGGATCGGACCAAAGCGAGGACGAGAAGCCTCTCGGCCGCTGATTTCGGGTTTCTCGCATTCGGGTTTCCTCCTCCAGACTTTTCTCCCCTCAGTCTCTGATAATTCTATCGACGTGCAGAATAAAAGTGTGTCCGTAGTCCGTACGGGAGGGGGACATCCATTGCCTGGCAGAGTCCAAGGCTCAGGCAGTGGGTAAGCTCCGCTGTCAGAAGAAGGCCGAAACGTAGTGATGCGGGATGTTGGCTGTTCCAGTGAAATTGTTCCCTCCTTTTCTGTCCTTCTCGACTTGTTCTTCTCTTTGCTCCATACGCAAGCAGCCAGTCGGACTGCAACACTGTCTCGCCCCGTCCCACTCTGTCCACATCGTCGGGATCGGAGAGAAATGGGTACTTCGTACGGGCTGTTGATGACCAACCGTCAACGTGGTTGGTGGTCCCCTGACAAGGGGTCCCGTATTTTAGGCAGGTGATCGTAAAGGATCGGCCGCTTGTAGTTGAAATTATGAAATGAACGCGGCTTTTGTGCAAGCCTCGGCAGCTCGCGGTGCCGAGCTGGGGGTCCATCGGGCCCTAGTGCACATATACGCCGTATCGCCATCGCCGTCATCGCCGCCATGGAGCGGCCGGGGTGCGGAGGGCCGCCGAGGGCTTTCAATTTGCGCATATACCCATCGGTTTGGACCCGTTCAGTTGGGGGGGGGGGGGCTTTGGATTCGAGGGAAAGGATATGATATTGGGCAGATTTGGGGGGCAGAAACGATGTGAAATTTTCTGCGCCCAGTCCACTGGTATTTTGGAACAAGGCGCGCTTGTTTGCAGAATGCAAAATGGATATGTGTTTGATTGGCGCTTGTCTTGGCTTGCTTGGTATTCTTGGAAACGCAATCCGCGGGCTCGGGGCGCCGGTGCGTGACGACGGCCGAGTGCCAGCGAGTCGGTGTCCTCTGGGGTCCTTGTCTAACAACAGCTTGGCATCAAATCCGTCCTGCGAGGATTCAGGACACGTCTTGGAATAGATTAGCATCTGCACTCGCCCAGTACGTAGGGAGTAGCAACCGTCAATCGGTCAAGACTCAATGGCATCCATTGACGACGGTGGAGTATCCGTCAGGTATTCGTAATACCGTATGGCCACTATGATGTACTCCGTACCCCGTAGGAATGAACTCGTAAGGTCCAAATAGTAAAGGGGCTGTGGCGGGTGGTGGCGGGTGGTTGCGGGAGTGCACGTGGACTATGATTTCCGGGTGGTTTTCTTCACGCGTACATTAACCAAGGAATCAGGGATCTGTCAGGGCGGCATTTCGCATTTCGCATTTCGTCTCCACGTCAAATCCGGTGTCGTGTGCATGCGTTGCCGTAGTGTACGCAGTAGTATAGTCGCTGCCTGGCGGGGTCTTATTTGTTGATGTTGATAGGTAGACGATCCGATGGGCTGATGAAGTTCCCAAGCTGTGATGGAGGGTTGATGGCAGGTTGACTTCGCAGGGGCGGATGTTCCTCGGGCCCGAGGAGCTCAGGAAGGAAGGGCAGCGCGAGGTTGCGCTGCGTGCAGTCAGTACGTACTACCGAGTAGTACTGAGTACGGTACTCTGCAGACTGCCTGCAGGTGGGATCATGGAGGAGGT